TAGAATGGCAGATGTCCTAAATAGAACTCTGGCCTCAGAATCAGCCCTTAAGGCATTCACACCTGGCTAAGAAGCCCATGAGAGTATTTCAGGAATGGAAAGCCAAGACACTGTAGCAAAAAAAAAAAAAAAAAAAAAAAAAGACCCAAATGAAAGATCTCTGTAAGTGAGATCCCAGCGGAAAGAATGGGCCATCAAAGAAGGGGGTACCTTTCTCTGAAGGGAGGAGAGAACTTCCACTTTGACTGTGACCTTGTCTGAATAAGATTGGAGTTGGTGAACTCAAGAGGCTTCCATAGCCTTGGCAACTCATGACAAGAGCCTCAGGTGATTACTGATGCCATAAATAAGAGTGTCAATTGTTAAATCATCAACAGGAGTCCCTGTGCACTTACTCCCCATGTAGGATCTCTGTCCTTAATGTGTTGTACTATGTGAATTAACAGTATAACTAGTACTCAAACAGTACTTTATACTTTGTGTTTCTGTGTGGGCGCAAACTGTTGAAATGTTTACTTAGTATATACTAAATTGATCTTCTGTATATAAAGATAATTGAAAATGAATCTTGATGTGAATGGGATGGGAGAGGGAACAGGAGATGGGATGGTTGTGGGTGGGAGGGAGGTTATGGAGGAAAAAGCCGCTATAATCCAAAATTTGTACTTTGGAAATTTATGTTTATTAAATAAAAGTTAAAAAATTAGTGTAAGATATTAAACTTACCAGAATTGAAAGATTACTGTCAGGCTTGTGGTTGAAAGAAAAAAAAAAGTGCGATCAGTTTAACACTGAATATTTGAATGATTGTTTTTAGGAATTCATCCTACTATTTGGAATGGATTTAGGAAAATGAAACTGGAATGAGATTGGAATTCAAAAGCTGTGTAGGTATCTACATGATGATTAAAGATGGAAATACACACAAATACATGAATAAATAAATAAAAATTTTCCAGAAAACCTAGACACCATATTGGTGTGGAAGAGAACTATATATTGAAGCTTTGAAACTCAAACTATAAATGAAAACAATATAGATACATATTTATTAAAACAATCATGACAAATGATATTGAAGTGACAAAGGATATATATAATCATACATATTTGAAAAACACAAATAAGCCAGCAGAAAATCTAAACAGTATATACACACACTAAACACACGGAAAATTGACATGATCTGTCAATTCACTAATAGCATGCTGACGAAATTAAACATTACAAATGCAAAGGCTTGTTTGTATATTGGCTTACTTATAAAGATTTATGTTATTTATTTGATAGGCAGAATTGCAGAGAGAGAGAGAGAGAGAGAGATTATCCATCTACTTTTTACTTTCCAAATGGCCACAATGGCCAGGGTTGGGGCAGGCTGAAGCCAGGAAATAGGAGTTTCATCTAGGTCTCCCACATGGGTGCAGGAGCCCAAGGACTTGAGTCATCTTCCTCTGTTTTTCCAGGTGCATTAGCAGGGAGCTGCATCAGAAGTGGAGCAGCTGGGGTTCAAACTGGCACCCATATGGGATGCTGGCGTTGCAGGCAACAACTTAACACATTACACTACAATGCCAGCTCCCAAAGGCTTATTTTACAGGACATATTTTACAGGACACACAAATCAAAGAGTACATTCATTCACTTATATTAGGATTTATTGTATACCTTTGGAAAAGGAACATGGTAGTGCAAATTATTAAAGTTATAATTAAAAACACATACGTATGCTAACCTAGCAAGTTTATTTATAGAGATTTATTCCTTAGAAATAAAAAAACCAGCTACAAGTGGAAATAAATACAAGTATATTGACAGTTAAATAAGTAATGGCATGGTCAAGGGTGCAAAGTCATGCATCTCTTAAAAGGAATGAACTAGAGCTGTATTAGCTTGGAGAGATTTTTATGAAATGTTGTTGAGTAGGCAATCAAAGATTTGCAGAAATATGTGTAATCTCATCCAATTTTTATAAAATAATAGCAAGTCTCTCATGTAAGAGTCTGTGTGTATTTGTGTAAGTGTTAACAGGAGTTACCTGTGGTTGGGAATGGTGGGGTCGGGGCAAAGGAAAGACACAGAAAGGAAGGAAAAAATACTGAACTAAATAGAAGGTGTATATTCCTTAAATAAAAAAGGAAAGCAGTTACCCAGCCACCAAATCACTCCCATACATGTAAGTTAAGGGGAAGGAGATAAATTTAGTTTAAAAAGTTCATGGAAATGTGTAACTTTTAAGTTTGTGTGTTTCTTTGTATCGGTACCAAGATAAACTTGTTTTTAAATTTCATCTTTCTTCCTTGAATTTTTTGAAGTACCCTTGCAAACTGACCTGTATGAGTAGTTCATGATATTCTGTCAAGTTTCAGTTTACAGAATTCCTTGTGTAGTATGATTCCCCTTCTCTAAAATAATCCCCTATTTTTTATGTTTCTACCTACATGTGTATAAATCTATGCATAAATACGTGGGAGTTTGGAAAAGTCCACGCTTGATTTAATGTAGCATACTTCAGGCAGTGAGAATAGAGTGAAGGCAGAATGATTTCTTTTTACTGTTAGTCTTCTTATGACTTGTTTTATAATTTATATTATTACATCAAGTATATTTAAATGATATTAGCATCCATAGGTAGAACTTTTAGATTCTACAAATATGTCGACTCATCAAATAATACACCAACCTTGGCCTGTGACCAACATTACCTAAACCAAATTTTGATCTGTTCTCAAAGTGAAATTTACTCTTTTTATCCTAAGTGATTGCTAAGATATTACCAACCTGTGTGTATTCTCATCTACTTCTCGCTAGTGGCCTGAGAAATTTTTGTTAACCCATATTTACATAAATGGAAGAGGAAATCAGAGAGTTTTAGTGACTTGCCAGAGATCCCAGAGATAAATCCAGATCTCAAGTCCAAAATGTTTTTCTTCCTATAGTATCTCAAGCACTGTTAAGCAAATGCTTTCTATTTTCTGAAAACCCAGTGCTTGTCTGTGGATGAGCATGGATGGGCATAAAGCTGCACCTCCCACACAATGAACTTTTCCACTCTAGTTGCCAAAGTGCTGTTGAGTTTTTCCCATCTCTGGTGCTCTCTCCTCTTCTATTTCATTGGCTAAATCCTACCCGTTTGTGAAAGCCTTTGGGTACCTCCACTGCATAGCATCAAAATAAAACTTGGTACTGTGACTTGCCTTGTATTTTCAGCAAAAGAATAGTCCTTAAGCGACATCATGGCCAAGATTTTCTTGGCCCATGTACTAAAGCAACAAGAAAAACAGAGCTAATAAAAATACTCCATAGCCTCATGCTACTGCATTGGAAGAAACAGAAAAAGAATAGAAATATAAGGTAAAGCCATTGAATAGAAATCGTTGATGCAAGTAGTCTTTTAACACTGGCTGTTAGAAAAGGGTAGGACCTTTAAATATACATATCTGTGCTTTAATTTGTTAAATTATACTTATGGTAGATGGAATTCCCTCTGCCTCACAGAAAATGTGACCTAAGAAATATGAGTTGTTTTAAGCCATTACATTTGTAATAATTTGTTATTCAGTAATAGGAAATAATGTAGAACTTAACCATTACAAGGCTTGAAATCATGGAAAGAACAGGGCTCTGGAATGAAGGAGGCTTGAATTCATTCTCCTTATCTCAGTGAACTTGCTCTTGGACATTAAGCAAGTCATACAATCATTGGAGACTTCAGTGACCTGATACATAAAACAAAGGCCTTTTCAAGGTCTTTTTAGAGTCTTGCTGCATACACTACCTGCCTAATATTGCCATTAAATGATACAGAATTTTAACTGTACCAAATATATGGTGTATTATTATATTTTATTTATTTCTTTTTTTATTTAACAAAGAAACAGAGAGAGCTCTAATCTGCTGATTCACTCCCCAAATACCCGCAATGGGCCAAAGCCAGGAGCTGGGAACAAAATCCAGGTCTCTCACGTGGGTGAGAACAAACTACTGGAGCCCTCACGTGCTGCATCGTGGGGTCTGCATTGGCAAGAAGCTGGAATCGGGAGCAGAGCTGGAAATTGAACCCAAACACTGTGATTTGAGATGCCGGTGTCTTAACTGGTGTGTGACTGCTAGGCCAAATGCCTGCCCCATCAAGTGGTTTGATCTAGCCTATCCATTGCATTTCTTTATTTTTGTCATTGTTTTACCTATCTTAAAAAATTCATTAAGATCATCCTCAGATTTTGATTTAAGGAGGAGGGCAGAAATCTAAGGGCCAGTACAGAACACTGCATCAGAAATATTGTGTATTGGTGAGCATCATCTGCTAGAAATGTTGTAAAACTGAGAAGCCAGACACAAGTAAGATCAATTACAGAGGAAATGGGGATTTTCCTTTTTTGGAAACTTTTAGATCTGTGAACAGTGAGTTAGGTGAGATTCCTGCCCTGAGTTTTGAAACATTGCACAGTGTCCAAAGGTACAGTGAGCTCTTGCCATCTGTGCACACTCCCAAGGTGAGGTTTTTACGTCAGAAGGCAGCTCCTCCTCCTCACCGTCAGTGTGATGGTGGTTCAGCTGAGCCACCTTAGGCATGCACACTTAGCTTGCATAAAGACGTAAAAAGGACGACCACCTGTTTTATTGTATTTTGTCACCATCGTGAAGTATCCTATTTCATGTTTAATGTTAAGTAAGAAGTCTTGGTGAGGCAAAACCCCATGGTGCACAGGGTAAATGGTATATTCCCTCCTGATCCACAAGGCGCTGTAAACAAAGGAGACTTTGGCTATAAATAGCACCCGGGTCAGGAAATGTTTCATGCAAGTATTAATAATCAATGCACTACACAGACAGCGTCAAGTGAGGGTTAGTGAAATTACCATCCAGTTAGGAAAACCAGTGAGATCCCCAGGCCATGAAGAAATGCCTTCCTTTGCTAAAGGTGGCTGTTGGTGTGAGCAGATGCGGGACTTGTTATTAATTTACTTTTCTCCCTTTGCATTGATTTAACTCCACAGTTGACACAGGGGCACTGGGACGTCTCTAGGAGTCAGCCCTTTGGGCACAGGAGTTAGCCATCATTTGCAAACTCTCCACCGACTGGAAGCAAAGCTGGAAGACAGGGCTGCCAAAGCCAATCATTGCAACCTGTAGCAGGCTCTCCTGCCCCCCGTCTGCCCCTACCCTCGGAGAGGGCTTCCTCCCCTCAGCGCTCCTGACCAGCGTGGCTGGCTGCTGCTATCCTTGCACCTGTCGCACCTCCGGTTTTTGGCAGAATGAAGTGAGGAGACAGCTGGAGTCATCATAGTTCATCTGTTTGAAGGTTGCCCAAATGAAAAACAAACAAACAAATCTGGTGAGTTTTGTGTTTCTTTTAAGTGTACAGAAATGCAGCTGCTAAGTTGTGTAGGAGATCAAAGGAGGCTTTTAAATTTTGGACACCAAAGTGTTCTTCCTGGCGTCATCCTTGGTGGATATTTGTTAGCAAACTTTAGAAGGAAGCTGCAGAAGAGGATTAAGTCTATTAAATTCGTCTGAATTGTGAAAAATTCTTTGTAAAGCTCATTAAGGGTCCTTAATGATGATCTCTGTAGAGAATGTGACAGTGAGTCCCAGGCTTGTATTTTGGATGATAGCCATCAAGTGCATAGTTTTAAAACATTTATTTACTAGACACAGTGGTAAGGTAGTAGGATTGATTGTCTATAAATTGTCATTTTCTAGAAAGAAAGATATATTCTGAAGCCTTCAATAATTTCAGTATTGGAATAAAAATGAAGTTTAATCTTAGCTTCAAAAGTTGAAATTCTCTTAAAAACCTTGAGGCATTATATTGATAAAATTACCAACGTATTATTATCAATGTACTAGTGATATTTTAATCAGCTTAGACTCCAAATAATTGAGGCAAGCAAAAATGTGTATTTATTTATTTTTATTAAATGTGTATTTATTTTTAGAAATTTTTAATTTTCTTAACATTCTTATTTTTAAAAGATGTAAAGTTATTTGCTATTATGGAAAAACAAATTACACTATTTGAATATGAACATTTTCTGAACATAAAAATCAAGTATTTTATGTTTTAAAGTTATAGCTTCAATTTTGGCCAGAATTGATTATAAGCTGATTTGTAGTTTGCACTTTAAAGTCATTTTTCTTCCATTTTAACAAGCTCTAAATGGCTTCTTAATCCATTTCTCTCCTCTACTTAGCAGAAAAAAATTTTTAAAATGCTACAGACAAAAAATAATACATGGTATTTGATGGCGTTCATAATATTGGTATGTCTGTTAAAATACGTGTTATCTTTTTTTTCTGTTTGCTTTCCAAACTTCACTGTTTTCAACTAACTAGATATATTATGTTTTCTGCCAAAAATAATATATCTAGAAAATTAATCTTTACTCAGGATTGTTTTAATCCACAAGTTTAATGGAAGATTATTTAGTAATTATTTGTTCAAGTTTGATTCTTATTTTGACAAGGGGTTTACAAAGAGGAAAGAGAAAGTGAGTATGGAAAATGTTCTTGAATTAAAAATGTATAAAGGTTAAACATCAAACACTTGTGACTGTCACCAGGAGAATTCTAAATCACAGCTGAGTATGGGTACTAAGCCTTCCTCCCAGAAATTCTAAACTCCTTGGTGCATTTTATTTTTTCATTTGTTGATCTGATTTTAATTTTCTTAGCTTTTGAATGTTAGCTCCATAAAAGGTAGGTGTGAGAACAGGATGCCTCAAAGGTAGGTTTTCATTATGGATTTGTACCAGGCAGTTTACCAGAAGAACCCAAATGAGGCACTGGTGAGGATACATGGCCTGTCTCAAGGGGGTCTAGTGGAATTACTGAGCCACAGCAATGGTTGGCTCTCAGACAGAAGGCAGGTAAAGCCTTGTGTACAATGGAACTGCAAGAGAAAGTCTGGTTTTAAATCACGTGTGTAGAATTTCTGAAAATGATACTTTAAAAATGATTTATAGTCATCAAAAATCTATTTTTACCTCCAAAATGTGAAGATTAATTCACAAACAGATTAATTCACAAACATTTGAATTCATTGATTGGAAGATAGTTTGTTGAAAAGGAACTGTGTCTGTCTTCTGCCTTCTGTGTAAAATAACCCCAGTTCTTTATTTTGGCATAACTTTGTTTTCATTTTTGAATTTGTATTTCTGAAAAAGCCCATAATATTTGTAAATTAATTTTATTAAACATTTGATTGAGTTTTGTGTCTCATATGATACATGGGAATTAAAAACTATTAAGGCTGTTGCTTTCAAATTTAAAGGAAAAAATACATGTAACTTTTGAAAGAAGATTTAAACATGAAACATGTTCGTTGTAGATAAATTAGAAGATACAGAAAAGTACAAAAATGGGCATAACAGAGATTCAGTCTCAACAGGTAGAGACAACCATTAGAAGTACTAATGTATTATTAGTATGAAATTCATATCATGCTGTGTACAAACTATATTGTGCTTTTTTTGCAGAAAACATTAACTATTTTCAAGCACTCTTGGCTACTTTTAATAATCATGTAATATTTTATGAAATATTCCTTTGTTGGTTTTTAAAAGTTCATTTTATATTAAGTGGATTTAGCAAGATTGACTTGGTACAATGTGTTTTAGACATTGAAAACACTGCCATTTCTGTGATTCTCCAAGTCTACATTTTTCCGTTTCCCCAGAATGGAATTATGGAAATATAAAGGAGGTTCTTCAAGTGATTTCTATACCTTCATTTTATTTATAACAATACACACTGCAAAAGTCTTTTATTATGGCTAACATTGACTGAGTCCTACAAAGATTCATTTTAAAAAAGACTTAATAGGCCCATAATGCATCCAGGGAACACCTTGTGAAGATTCTCCTCTGGAATTGGAACACTTTTCTCCCTGAAGAGTCATGTTACACTTGTATTTTTGCAAGCAAATAAAATATTTGGCTTTATTAAAATGTTCAAAATGATTTGGCCACTACAGTCTCCAATGGAACAACATTTGTGTCAGCTGAGAGCTATGGTTTCAGGTGGGCTCTGCAATTAGTAGGGAGTGATGGATTTTTAAAAACTAATTGTCAGCTGCTATGTTAAAGTAGCATCTGGCAAGTTGTCCCCAACTCAGCAGTTTCCAACTTTGCACTAAGATTCTCAGGAAGAGATTTTAAAGGTGAGTTTATCAGGTTTCCAAAGTCCAGTACTAACAGTGAACCTATGGCCAGTATCTAGGAAAAGTATCACTGGACTGGAACATATCAGTGACTTAAGGTTGAATGTGACCAGAAAATAGGAAGAAATATACTTTACACTTTTCTCGTGTTGAAATCATAATTTACAAGCTCACATTCTCTCAAAAAAGGACTAAATTTCCACTCCTTACCTAGCGTTGCTTTGGGTGAAGCCAAAATACTATCTGTCCATGCTTCTCCCAGAGTTTAGTATTTCATGGAGAAAGAGGACAGAGGATTAGCAATGGTGATGGTGCCCCACACTCCTCAGTAGAGCTCTGCAGGTAGCACAGTGGGGCAGTGCACATGGGGGTCAGGGAGTTGAGGGATTTCATCTCCTTAACCAGGGCTTTCTGGGTAGGGGATGCTGTACTTGTGCTCTGTACAAGTGCTCAAGAAGGAAGAGTGGCTTTTTAAAATTGTGTGTGTGTGTGTGCGTGTGTGTATCTATGCTTCACATACAGCCTCTGCACAGAATGTGGGAAACCCAGAGAGTGTAGGTGAGAGTAATATTCACCCAGGCTAGCAGAACCATGGGGTCAATACTGGTACACTCTGTAAACCAGCCCAAACCTGGGCAAAGAGGTCAACCTCCCGGCTTCATATCTGAGTAGAGGATATGACCAGCATCCAACTGGACCAAGAGTGAGGCCCTGGCATATTCTCTGTCCTTGTTGGCTCTTAGCAAACATGGTTGAACTCTTTTTTACTGGGACCCAATGCAACTCTGTCAAATTATAGATAGATGGTACAATTTAACAATAATAGATGGAAGGTAATCTGACAATCCTCTGGATGTTGAGATTATGAGATTATAAATGATTTTAATTTACTCTTTTTATTTCTAAAGTAATCCAAGCATAATATTTTAGTAATCAGAAAAATAAGGATTATCCTTAACTAGGAATAGAAAAACAACTAATATAAGTTTTAGATTTATCTGGGCACTAACCATGTCACTGGAACATTTCTTGCCTCTCTTTTTCATAGTTTGCATCTCTTGGTGTCTACTAAGAGACCCCAATGGTTCTATTTTACTTTGGAGTTCAGATGCTGTGAAGGTCAACTTCTGATTTGTCACACTCGTGGGTCAGGTGCAATGGTGAAGAAGGCAGGATTGCTTGGTCATTCAGATTTCTCCCTTCCTGGAGTAGCAACGCGAGAAGCCACACCTGAAATAACTCTCTGAACTCCACAATCTCCCCTCTTGCTCCGGTTGGAGGGTGTCAGAGTGTGCTGGGCAGCCAAGGTTATGGGGTCTGATGGGTCAGATCCGATTCATGTCTCTAATTGTGTTTTCAAGATGTAACACACCCAGGGAGATTTGTTCCAGATGGATGCAGTGCAAAATGAAAAATAAAATAAAACCCCCTCCAAGCACAATATTGTTCTAAATATTTCTTTGAGGTATCAGCAGGTTTTAAATCACTGGAAGACAGGCTGAAGGCATTCTCTACATCATGGTGCTCTCCCAGTTATTTGAAATTAATTTTAGTTTTAAAGGCTTTTCTAGGTAGCTCTTCTCTGCCTGTTATTGGCAACTTAGTATGTTAAAAATTTTCCAAAATAAAGGTACATGACAAGTCCTGATGTAACTAAGTCTGAAGTATGACACATCTAGTATTTTCTCTTAATGCATTAACATTTCTCTCTCTGTGTGTGTGTGCATGTGTATGCTTTAAAAGGTCAGAGGCAAAACAAAAGCTTTCCTTAGAAAATATTGAGTGTGAAATGTACATGTAATAGGTCAAACAATTTATTGAAATTAGGAAAGCAAATATTGTTGCTTGCATAAATATACAAGCTGTTAGGATATTTCAAAAAATTAAGTCAGGAAATTATGTGGTAATTTCTCAAAGTTATTAGATACCTTGTTTGATACATGTAGAACTAGTATTTAAAATGGTCATTAGAATATGTGAGCAAAAAACTATTTTGAGGGAGGATATTTTTGAAAGTAAAAACTTGGATTTATGTCAGTAAAAATAGTCATGCATTGGCTTACTAAACTGACCAGTTTGAGCTGGGTACTCTTGGTTTAATAACTAGCTAATAAAATTTACAACTAATGGAATATCTTTCCCTATTAAAATACTGCTTCATAGCTTCATACCAA